TAGGTGCTCCAACCCATCTCTCTCTTCTCGGCCCTTTCATGACAGGTTCCAGGCTCAACGCTGAGCTGGGGAAAGAAGAGTTGATATGGAGCTATCTGCTCACCTGTGACTTTACCTAATGGCCCTGAGTTTGAGATTGCCCACTTGGAAAAGGGGAGGCAAGAGTTCCTTGTTATGGGAGGTATTCAAGAAGTAGCCCGGATGCACAGAGGAGATTCTAGTAGGAAGTGGATTGGCTCAGATGACCTCTGAGGGCTCTTCCAGTCCTGAAATGCATTGCATGGGGTTAGGAAGGAAGGAAGGCAGATGGTGGTGGAGGATTAATTGGGCAGAATTTGGGGGCAGATGAGAATGGGTGGGTGAGGGAGGGGTTAGACTAGAGTCTGCCTGTGTTTCTGGCTCCTTGGGAAATACCCCATGGTTCAGTTTTAGGCCCCAGTATCCATACCATGCCCAGATGAGTGGGCACTGTTCTGCCCCGTCTCTTCCCTGTTACACTCTGGCCTGGCTAGTGCTTGGTGCCCAGTGACCTTGAGGAGCCTGGCTGCAGACTCTGGCCTGTCCCTTAGACCTGGGTGGTTCTCATTCCAATCCCCAGGAGGGACATGGGAGGAATACGGCTAAATTCTATAGCTTCCAAAGTTGGCTGGTGGTGCCCTCTAGAGGTTCAAAATGTCAGCTTCAGGATACTAAGCACAGAGGAGGGTGGGGATGGGGCACTGGACTTGACTGAGGATCAAAGAGATGTAGGATAAAAGATTAAGAGAAAGGATACCAGGATGTTGCTAACGGTGAGGGACCGAGTGTGATTTGGGGTTAGGGGTAGACTTACCCAGCCAGGTGGGTAACATCAGGTGATGTTAGACCTGAAACCCCCACAGAGGGCTAGGGAAAGCTGGGGTCGGGGTGGGAGAGAGTCAGATGGGGGTCTTTGGAATTAAGGAGTGATCCCAGAGGGTGCCTAGAGCCTAAGGATTGGGAACACGGGCCCTGACAGAGGGAAGATAAGGGAGTGTTCCTGCTTGGTCGATGACGGTCAATGATGAAGTCCCCATCTGCTTCAGGGTTCCTTTGTAGCATGGGAGACTGGGGCTAAGGGCCCCTTTCACAAAAGAGACGCTATCAGGCCACTGGTTGATGCAGTGGCATAGAAAATCCACTTCTGCTTGCATTTCCCCAAAGAGCCAGCAGAAGGCAGCCCTGGAAAGCTGCAGTTCTGCCTGGCTGTTCCTGTCACTGCCTTCTCCCCCATCCTCCCCTTCTAGCCCACTAGAGACTGCCTGTGTTCTGCCTCTTGCCTCCTGCAGAATTCATCTCTGGCCCTCAATAAATGCTTCCTGCGTCCTTCTGCCTCCTGTGTCATTTTCAGCTTCGTCTAAAGCCCCTCCCTTCTCCCCTAGGAACAGTCCAAGGGATTCTGCGGGGACGAGAATGTTTGACACAGGTGGGATGGGAGCTTGGGGCGTAGCAACCATGGAGAGAGACGGGGAACAACGGAACGGCCATAGACGAGGTCCCAGGGTTGAGGTCCTGATCCTGTCTTCTACCAGCTGGGTGACCCTGAGTAAACCCCCTGCTTAGCCAGCCTCAGCTTCCCTATCTGTGCAGAGTGAGCTGGGTGAGGTGGTATTGCCCTGGTCCTCACCACAAGCCACTATCACTGGAGCAGGTAGGGCCAAGCTGGGTCAGGGCCCAGGGCTGTGGGGCGGGTTCCTCATGGTAGGATGGGGCTCCATGCAGCAGGAGAAGCCCCTATAAGAGGTCCCATCTGGGTCCAGGTGAGCTCGGGACCCAGACTATCAGGAGTGCGCCGCACCTGATGGCGGTGTCCTTTGTCCAGAGAAGGGGACTGTGGCCCCACTCCCAGACGAAGCCAAGCCTGCCCTGGGAACACCCCTCACCTTCCTCTCTAAAAGCTCAGGCCCAGCAGAGGCTGGGGGCAGGAACCTAAGGGGCAGAACGTGGAGCTCCTGGAGTCCTCAGAGCCCCGGCTTCTTCCTAAGGGCATGTCAGAAACAGGCCCTTGGACATTCTGTCCTGGCACACGGGTACAGGTGCTGCCCGCCCTGGACCCAGTGCATCCTTGCCAGCCCACCCTTCCCTGCAAGTGACCCAGTCTTTATCTTCAGCCAGAACCCCTCCTGAGCACAACATCCCCCTGCCTACTGGGTGATTCCCATCCCTGACACCGCAAATCAAGTTCATTCCAAGCTAAGCTGAGTAGCCGCGCTCGCCCCAAACTGGTTCCCCCTTTACCTTCCTCAGTCACTCAAGCCACAGTGGCCTTTCCTGCACTCCCCACATCTAATCTCAGAGCAGGACCTGGTGATTCCGCAGCTGCTGCTGCTCGGGCCCTCCTCCATGCTCTCCATGGTCTCTATCCCTGCCCCTGTGCAGGCTCTCCGTCTCTCACCTGACCACAGTCAAATCTTCCTGCCTCCAGTATGGCCCCCTCCAACTCATTTTTCACCTGGCAGCCCAGAGATATAGTTGAAAAATGCCAACGTGACCCCTCCATTCCACCGCTTTAAACGCTTCAGCAGTCCTTTCTAAAGCATACTTCCCTCTGGAAGAGCCTGCTGTGATCTGGCCCACCTGTCCAGCGCCATCTCTCAGCTCTGCGGGCAAGTTCTGGCTCTGCTTGCGGACCCCTGGCATTGTTACAGAGGGGCCTATGCCCCTCTGCCCACTGAACTCCTACTAGCCTTCCAGGCCCAGATCAAATGTCTCCTCCGGGAAGCGCCTTCCCCATCCCCCACCCCACCCCCAGGCAGAGCTGGTGGCACCCTCCCCTGGGTACGCCCAGAGTATTTCCCATCATGCATCGCAAAGGCTTATTTACGGGTCTGACTTGGGCCTGGCTAAGTTCCTTGAGGACAGAGCCCTGCCTTATTTATCTTCCATCCATAGAGACTCAGACGGTGTGAGAAGGTGGAGGGAGGGAGGGAGAGAGGGAGCAGAAGGAAGAAAGAAAGGCAGGAAAGAAAAGAGGAAAGAAGAATAAGTCAAGCAAGGATATCAGGGGAAAATTCATTGATTCATGCATCCATCCATCCATCCATTCATTCAACAAATATCTATTGAATTCCTATCAGGCCCCGTTCTAGGCACTAAGGATACAATTAGCAAGCTCAAGCGACTGGCAACTGACTCTCAGCATTTCCAGGTGACTCTGGGGTGTGTGTGTGTGTGTGTGTGTGTGTGTGTGTGTGTGTGTGTGTGAAAGCCCTTCTGTCTGCAAGGGCCTGCTGCCGGGGCACCTGTTTCCCCTGGGGCCTGGTGCTTTTAGCATCTGTCCCTGGATCCTGTTGCAGCCCGAAATAAGGCTGTGAGCCACGACAAAGCAGGAAAGATTCTTGCTTCTCGTCAGCTGAGGCCAGAGCTGGCTGCAAGGACGCACCCCGCTCAAACTGGACCGAGGACCACCAGCACCTACACGACTACCCAGCTCTCAGCTTCCCGACAGAGGTGTTAATTTTGAGGGTCTGACATTCCCTCCTGCACACTATGGTCCTGCCACTCAGGTACCAGGATCCTAGGGGAGCTTGAGGAGCTATGGGGTGTGGGCAGAGGAGGTGAGCCAGCTGCCAGAGCCCCAGCCCCCAAGCAGAGGAAGGGCCCTGCCAAGGGTCTGGGGAGCATGGGGCCTCAAGGAAGCCAGGTGCCTGATTTGGGATGGGAGAGATTCTAAGCTCTAGGTCACTCTTGGTTAAATGGGGAGGGGTGGCTGGGATTCAAGGTGGGCAGAGGTAATGACTCTGCGTAGGACTTCAAGGTCTTTAGGCTGCAGAGGGAAGCAGGGCCCCTGTCTGTAAGATGAAAGCCCTTCCCAATGTCTGTAAATGTCTGTAAGGGGAGTGTTTGTCAAGAAACAGACCCATGCATTGTGGACTCCTGAGTGGTCACAGTTGGAGCATTCTCTGTCAACTCATGGCCCTCATCCCAAATGCGAGCAGACATGCTCAGATCTGATACGGTTTGCCGGGTGGGGGATTGTGGATGCCCCGAAACCCATCTGTGGATCCCATGATCTGGCCCAACCTCCTTATGTAACAGAGACACATAAGAGGAATTGAGGCACAAAGCGGGAGAGCTACTTGCTCACAGTTACAGAGGAAGTCAAGGACATGGATTAGACCCCAGGTTGCCCAGCTCAGTGCCCACTGACGCGGGGCCGTGTGTGGGTGTGGGGTATAGATGGAGGTAGACTGTTTTTTCTAAAGGAAGGAGTGAAGGAAAACCTGGAAGCAAAACACAGGGGTAGTCTGTCAGGAGACTCAAGAGCTCTGCCTTCTCTCCTGGGGCCAAGTTAGGGAATCTGGATTTGGAACCTACAGGGATTCTCTGGGGCTCTGGACCTCATTTTGTTTGTAAATCTCTTCCAAGGTCGCTGGAAAGTGCCATGAGGTACAAATGGGGAGGGGGGGGTAAAGGGGGAGGTAGAGAAGGCTGAAGGAGAGCACCCTGCAAGTCAGCTGAGGAATGGGGCATGGGGAAAGGGGTGATGGGTCTCTCGGCTTCCTTGGACCAGCCTGTGCCCTCCGGCCTCAGAGCCAAGTACTGGAGACAGAAGGAAAGGATCAGCCTTGTAGACCCCAGTGTGGGCCAGGCCAACAACCCATCCATACCCTCCTCTCCCTGGCTGCAACCTCCTTCAGCCCCTGATTAGAGTTCATCTGCGTCAGCAGATGACAGTCGTCTGAGACCCCCCACCCCCTACCCGTCGTGTCCCGGGGATTGCCCCCTGAAGAAAGAATGCCTCCCTGGCAACATGGGAAGCAGATTTGTGTGGCTTCTAGCACCTCCCTTGCCTTCCCTGGACCTCAGTCTCCTCCTCTGTACAAAGAGACCCCAAAGCCCTGTCCAGCTCAGAGCCCTTCCTTGAGCCTGGGGTGAGCCAAGGCAGTTCAGAGCTGAGGCTGCGTGGACCAGGGACTGGGAGGACGTCTGGGGAGGGACGCAGGGGGGCTGGCCATTTGCAGGCATCTCTCTTCCACAGGATGATCCCTAAGGAGCAGAAGGGGCCAGTGATGGCTGCCATGGGGGACCTCACTGGACCAGGTAAGGTGGACTCAGCCCTTGTACGGTCCTCAGATCCCATCCTTTCCTGGTCCCAAAGTGTAGCCACTCGGGCCTGTTGGCCTGAGGCCTGGGCAAACAGGTGTGAGTTCCAGGCCAGCCCTGAGGGAGCATTGTGGAATCTGCCACTTGGGCTGGGACACTTCCCAAAGCATTGGGAGGGGCCTTGCCCTGATGCCCACACCCCCACATGCTGAGACTGAATGCCTTACACTGGGCCCTTGGCCTCACTAAGTCCTTACCTCAGCCCCAGATTGAGTACTGAGGGCTCTGGTCCCAGTTCCAGCCCTAACTGTGGCCCCAAGCCCCCCCCCCAACACTTGCCCTTGCTTCCTGTCACTGTGGGTCTCCCGGGGCCCCCGTGGCAGGAGACAATTGTCAGGGGAGAGTGGGGACAGGCATGGGGCTGGCCAGAGCAGGCTCCCCAGTGTGACTCAGACCCCTTCACTTAAAAGTAGGCTCACCCAACGAAGAAATCAGCTAAAACACACGCTTATCCCCATATAAGACCTCCTCCAGAACTCTCGGCATAATTTTGGAGTCTATTAATTTGGCCTACTTCAGAGCATTGCAAGTATTTTTTTTTAATTTTTAAAAAAGATTTTATTTGTTTATTTGAGAGGATGATAGAATGAGTGTGCACACAGAGGGAGAGGGAGAAGCAGACTCCCCACTGAGTGTGGAGCCCGATGCGGGGCTCGATCCCAGGACCTCAAGATTATGACCTGAGCTGAAGGCAGACGCTTAACTGACTGAGCCACCCAGGCTTGAAATGGGGATTTCAAGTATTTTAAAAACAAATTCAGCTAGGTCAGGGCTCTCATCCTATAGTGCAAATGATGGTGAGAGGTGCTGTTGGCTAAAAATGCAGATTCCCAGCTTCCACCCCCAGGATCCGGATTCAGTGGACCTGGAGAGGGGGCCGGACATGCGTCTTTGAGACAAGTGCCCGGGGAATTCTGGAGCACATGGACCGTGACCCAAGCTCTGACAAACCGTCCCGTAAGGACACCACTGAGGTTTTGCCCCATGCAGGTTCTGAGTATTTATCCTCTTGTATGACTTTATATGGGAGTGGTCCTAACCTATTTTGTGTGTTCTTGCCGCCTTTTGTGGGGGTCAAGTTTCTTTTTTTTAAATACATGATTTTGGGTGCTAACACACAACTTCGTGAGGTATTGATGCTCTAACTAGAAGAACCAGGCGATGCATTCTCTTTTCCCTTGGCTAAGTAATTAATTAATTAGTCCCCCAAATGTGGGCACATATCATTTATGCCAGACTGGAAACACATAAACTGTTGGCCGTTGCTAGGATATTAACTCAAGACAGTTTTGAAACTAAAGAAAAGTAGAAAGAAAAAAACCCTCATGGTTTTACCATGAAAAGACAGCCACTGTAATACTACTACTAACACCATTATTATGTACTTAATCGGTGTCAGATCCTGTGCTAAGAGCTTCTGTGCTTTATGTTATATAACCCTCACAACAACTCTCTAAGTTAGATATTGTTGCCCCTGTTTTGCTGCCGAGAAAGCCGAGGTTCAGAGGAGCTAGGTGGTCACACAGCTAATTGTTGGTAGAGCTGAGATTGGACTCCAGATCTCTTTGTCTCCAGAGCTGCTGCTTTACTACACAGTTGTACAAATAATACACCCCTTTTATAAGATATTCAGACAAAACAGACATGAATGACTTTGAAAGTGAAAGTTCCTCATAATGGGACCATCTGGAGATAACCACTGTTAACGTATTTGTGTGAATCCATCTTCTGTTCATATATAAACATATTTATAAAAACACATATATATGTGGGCTAAATACTCTACGCTGTATTCTTCAGCTTGCTTTTTTTTTCCCACTTAGCAGCCTACCACAGACTTCTTTCCATCCTGGTATGATGTACCTCTCCGCCCCCTCCCCCTGCTCCCCCAGCATGTAATATTAAGTATATTGATACATGCACACACCGTATTGATGGTCAGGAAGGTTCATCTCAGGTTGGACCATTAGGAGCCGAGCTGAGGATTCTCACACAAGTGACTGATTGAGGTCACGCCCTCAGGAAGAGGGAAATGACGGAAGCAGGATAGGGCAGGGGAAACCGCTAAGCAAGGACGTGGGCTCAGCTGTTAGCCCAGGTTCGGTCTGATCCCGTGGGAGCTCCAGAGCACGAATGGCTCCACAGAACTCACCCTGTCTTCAGCGAGGAGGCCATGAACGCTTCTGCTCAGGAGGGCAGCCCTCTGCAGAAGGGGGGCAGTTGTGACCCTGAGCCACTGATGAAGGGCATCTGGGCAGCGCCCCCAAAACACGGATGCCCGGTTTTCACAATCTGAAACCTCAGTGCAATCAACATCGTTGTATGTCTGTCTTCAGGCATGTTTATTCAACTTTTCTCCCTAAGAATGAATACCTAGCAATAGAACTGTTTCATCAAATAGACTTTATCTGTAACTTTTTTTTTTAAATATTGAGCTCAATTCATCTGGTAGTATTTGATAATATGATGCCAGGGGACTTTTTATTATGTACTTAGATATAAATAGTCTTTCATGCTTTTAGTATGTAGGACCCTTTCTTGTTAAAAAAAAATAGTGCAATTTCCAGCCCTCCTCTTCCTACATCCTATAAATAGTCACTACTGATATTCGGCATGCCTCCGTGCAGTTTTTTCACTGCATGCATAAACATACAGTACTTACTTTTTTAAATAAATGACTGGGATCTTAGAATACAGATTCTTCTGAAACTTACTTTTTCCCCCCTCTTAACCTACAATGGATCTCTTTCTATTCCTAACATGTAGGAGGTCTTCTCTCTATATTTGCTGAAAGAATTAAAAAAAAACATCAGCCTCCTTTTTTAAAAGCCAGTTTGGATTCCATTGACTGGAATGAGTCACAGCACCTGCATGGCCCCCTGATGCTGCCTGGCAGCCCCGTCCATCTCCCTGTCCCATAGGACTCGCTTAGACGATGGCGGCAACCTCTGGCCCCAAACTCCCGATGCCTCCTCCCCTGTCCTCCTTCTCAGCTGATGACCTTGCTTCCTATTGCACTGAGGAGAGTGAAGGAACCAAAACAGCACCTCTGCCAGCTGCCTCCTGCATACCTGGCCCTGTGCTCGCATCTGCGTCTGCATTCTCGGTTTTCCGTCCCCGTGTGGAGGACGACCTCTTCCGGTCCACACCCTCCCCTCCCCTCCCCTCTGTCCCGCTCAAGGACATTCTTCCAGGCAGTCTTCCCTCTCTATTGTATTGTCAAAATTTCCCATCAGCTAAAAAACATGCTTTTATTTCTCCCTTTTAAAAACAAACACACACCTCTTGATTCTCCTGCTGCCTCGGTCCTGTGGAGCACAACTCCTCAAAGCTGTTGTCTGTACTTTCTCACCTCCTCTCTCTCTCTAACATTTTATTAAGCTCACTTCCAAACACACCAAAATAGGGAGTGCAAATCCTCACGGCCCTCCTTTCGTCCCTGGAGTCCAAAGCAAAACCCAAAGAGCATGTCATTTCATCTCCTCCATACTTCAGGGTGCACCAAGAATAATAAAGAAGACATTTCCTTACATGTCACAAAGACGGTAGCACACCGAACAAAATTAGCAACTTTGATTTAATACCACCTAATGACCAGTCCCACAGTCAACTTTCTCCAATTTTCTAGTTTGTGTTAATGAGGCTCCAAGAAGGACCACTATTTATCTGGTGGCCACGGCTCTTCAATCTCCTTGAATCTATAAGCCCCACTCCTGCCCTGCCCTATCGTTTTTGTTTTTGTTTTTTTCCAGGTCATTCCCCCCTTTAAAGAACCCAGGCCAGCTGCCCTATAAAATATCTCACATTCTCAATTTGGTTCACTGCTTCCTCGAGGTGTGGTTAAAATGCTCCTCTGTCCATTTTCTCGTAACACTTTCCATTACAGTTTTCACACCCAAACACTCCATAGAAACTACTTTTATGAAGATGACCAATAACAGTGCCCCGACACTAAAGAGGATAGTCAGTTTTCGGCTCCGTGAGCACTCCATCTTCCCCCAAACGCTGTTATCCCTTGGTTTCCAGGGCACCACACTCTGGCTTTCCTCCTGCCTCACGGGGCGCCCCTTGCCAGGCTCTGTGGCTGGTTCCTCACCTCCTCGATCTGGATGCCAGAAGCCAGCCCAGGGCTCAGGCTTCGGATCTCTTTCCCCCTCCCCACCCTGGTGATCTTACCCAAGCTCCCAACTCTAAACACCATTTATAGAGCTGGAACATGAACCTCCGTGTATCCGATTTTAGAGGTGGACAACGCTGGCCATGCTGTCCGTACGTATCCTCTTCCTACCAGTGTCCTCACCCCACCGTCACCCCCTTCCTCCCAAAGCCTCTCCTTGTTGGGAAGTGTGTCAAAGTGGGTGTTTTGCCAGTGGGGGAAACACAAAGGTTACGGATGGGCTCCAGACTATTAAGGACAGCCATCAGCCCTGGAAACCCTCTATGTGGCTATCACGATGAGTCCTAACTCCGAAAAAAGAAAGAAATGTAATGGTCTTCATCAAACAACAACAAATACCATTTGTCAGCTCATGATGCCCCAACTTTCACCTCAGGTCAGTTTCTCCCATGAGCACTAGGCTCCCATATCTGGCTCCCTCCTTCTCAGCTTCTCCGCTTGGACATCTGCAAGGCTCTTCCAACCTTATATGCCCAATTCTGCAGGCAGTTAGGGGAACCTGAATATGGATTAGGCATTGAATAAAACAAAACAAAACAAAACAAAAGTGTCCACTTGCACAGGTGGAGCTCTTTAACTGATAAAAGCAAGTTACAAGCCATGTATAACTATGACTTCGTTTTGGCTGAAAACTCTTATGTGAATACATAGTCTTTTTCTTATAAGATTTATTTATTTAATTTTAGAAGAGAGAGAGCGAGCACATGAGCAGGGGGAGGGGGAGAGGGAGAATCCTCCAGCAGACTCGCAGGTGTGCGTGGATCCCAGGTGGGGCTCAATCCCAGGACCCTGAGACCACGACCTGAGCTGAAATCAGGAGTCAGACGCTTAACCGACTGAGGCACCCAGGCGTCCCTCATACAGGACTATATAGTCTTTGAAAAGGATATGAACGGATATACACTAAGGTGTTAAAGTGGCAACCTCTGGGAGATAGAAATGGTATTTTTCTCTTTTCCCCTTATATCTGTATTTTCTAAATTCCTTCAGTGCACATATATATGCTATTTTTATAATAAGAAAAGGCTATTTTAAAATGGAAAGAACACATGTCTAACACAGAGCTCCTGATCTTTCCCATCTCCCCCCACCCCCCGCCCCACCCTTCCTGTCTCAGTGACTGGCTGCTCCGGGGACGAGGACGGAGTGGGTCAGGCCCAAAACCTCCCCTCCTCCCGTGGCAGAGCTCACACCCATGGCTTACTGTTAGATTAAACTAGAATCTGACCATTTCTCACGACTCCTACCACTACGGGCAAAGAATTGCAGAGGAAATTCATGGAATAAATACAAATGGCCAAATAACATCTGAAATGGAGTTCAATTTCACTGAGTGACAAACACATGCAAATTAGGTGGAGGTGTCATTTCTGCCCACCAGGTAGGGAAAGGTCCCACAGAATGGTGACACCCAGTGTCAGCAGCTGTGGGGAGAAAGCGGCATTCTCCTACACCCTGGAGAGTGCTCGGAGGCAGGCACCCTTAGAGGCTGGCAGCCCCGAGGGCACTGAGGATTTGGCGGTAAGAGCTCACTCTGGCCTCTCTGGGCAGTCCCTTTGCTGGACCTGGGCAAGAAGCTGAGCGTGCCCCAGGACTTGATGATGGAGGAGCTCTCGCTGCGCAACAACAGAGGATCCCTCCTCTTCCAGAAGAGACAGCGCCGGGTGCAGAGATTCACCTTTGAGTTTGCAGCCAGCCCACGAGTGGTAAGTTAGTCCCATTGTGCTTATAGGGGAATTGAGGCCCAGAGAGGGCCAGTGGTTAGCCTAAAACCAAACAGTGAGCCAGGTGAGGACGTCTGGCCCCTGGGGAGTCCCTCCAGCTCCAGCCGGAAAGGCTGTGATGTTCATGTTCCCATCAGATTCAGCCCCTGACTTGCTCTGTGATCCTAGAAAAGTGGTATCTCTTTAGGCATCTCTCCCCAGATATAAAACAGAAAGTGGAATGGGCATCGCGAGCTGTAGGTGAAGGGATTCTGGCTCCTACAAAAAGTGCTCTGGGCTGACTTTGCAGTGAGCAGGATTTAGATTAGACATTGAGCTTGACCTAAGTGAGAAAACACAAAATTCCTTCTCTTCTTGCCCCTAGAAGAACGAAAAGGCCAGAAAACGGTCTTCTGGTAGAGACAAGAATGGCTTATCCTCAGGCTTCAAAAAGTCAGCAGGCAGTTTCAGTTACTTGGAATGAACTCGGGGTCATTCCACTCATACTCCACTCAGTATCTGGACTAAACAGGGGGTGACTGAGAGGGGATGATGTGGCAGAATGCAGAATAGTAAAGACAACAAAACACCTACCTTTGCTAGCCAAGCACTTCATGTGTATCATCTCATTTAATGCTCACAGAGCCCTATAAGCTAGAAATTATCAACACTACTCCCATTTTATGGATAAGGAAACTGAGACTTGGGATGGTCATCTGCCCAAGGTCAATATTAGAATAGCAACTAACATACAGAGAGCATTTCTCTGTTCCAGGCACTGGGATTAGCACCCTATGCTATTAATTCATCCCCCCAATATCCCTGGGATGTGGGCACTAAGATTACACACACCCCTTTTTTGGTGGAAGAACCCTGGCTCCTTGCTGCACTGAGCCTCCCTGTGGTCTATTTGCCCCCACAGATCGTGGATGGAAGTGCCAAGGGGAAGGTAACAGGATCGAAGGTGACAGGAACAGTGGAGCTGGGGACGGTGAGTATGCAGGGAGCCCCAACAAGAGGGGAAGCTGGGGGAAGGGGCCAGGCAGCTCTGTGTGGCAGTCCATGGCCTCTGAGCACCCGCCCCTGTGCCCAGGTTGCCAACGGCCCTGAGGGGCAGAACTGCCGCTCTGAGCTCCACATCTTCCCAGCCTCATCCCAGGGCCCTGAGGACGCCCAGTCTGCAGCCTTCCCCGCAGAGCGTGCCCGCAGCCCCAACGCCCTGGCACCGGGTGAGTGCCTCCCTGGGTCCTGGTACTGGGGCTGGGGCTGGGGGACCAGAGCCCATGCGGTGCTCCACTGTGGGGCAGGAACCAGCGCCCAGAGAGTGTCTAGTCTACCTCCCCCATCCCCCACGCCCCTCCACAGACCTAACACAAGCCCAGAGAGGTGCAGCAATGCACCCAAGGTCACACACTGAGCCAGTCTGTGCCCCAACTCACGATTCCCCTGCTCTAGTCCTCCTTGCTTCCAGGGATGGGGAAGGATCGGTCCCCTTTGCTGGAACAACTCTGGCGTTATATCCCACCCCCCATCCCGGCTCCAGGCTTCCCTCACCCAACCATATCTGTGGGGTGGGCAGGAGTGGGAGCTGAGGGAGAAAAGAACCCAGCTGCCCCCCCATCTGCCTGCCCCCCATGAGCCCTGCTCTGTCCCCAGGCTATGCCAAGCCACTGAAGGGTGTCCCGCCAGAGAAGTTCAACCACACAGCCATCCCCAAGGGCTACCGCTGTCCTTGGCAGGAGTTCATCAGCTACCGGTACTACCAGACGGATGGCAGAAGTCACACCCCCAGCGTTGCCCAGTATCGAAATTTCAACAAGTAAGGCCAGGGCGGGGGGCAGCTTGGGGAGAGATGGCTAGGGTGCGCAGGTGCCTGTGGCGGCAGTTCCTGAGCCCTTCCACAGGCCAAGCTCTATCTGAGCACTTTCACATCGACGGAGCTCTAGCTAGAACTCAAGAGAACTCTTGCCTCGGCACATAGTAGGTGCTCAAGAAATGCAAAGGGAGTGAATGGGTGAATGTGCCACACATCTTATTGGTTTCTCCACACAACAGGGCAGGGAGGTGCTGCAGTTTTTCCTATTCTGCCAGTGAAGGGACCCACTCAGGAACATCAACAACCTGCCCAAAGTCACAAAGCAAGGAAGCAGCAGGTGTGGGATCCAAGTCTGCATTTGTCTGACTCCAGAGCCCGGTTTCTTGTTTCCTCCCTGTTGTGTGCCATCCCTTTGATGCACGTTCCTCCCTGGGTGGGGCCCCAACCTCACTAGTCCTAGATCAGCTCAGCCTTTTCCTCACTTTGCTCAAAGGTCTGGAAGAGGCCTAGAGATGGCTTTGAGGTGTATCACAGTGCGGAGTGGCAGTGAAACATTGGATGCCAGATGTTTGAGAGACGCAGAGGAGTGGCTTGTACTATTTAGAGCATGCGGCCTCAACGTGGGCTTACACTGAGACTCCTCACTTCGCTGTGTGACCTTGGGCAAGTGACTTAACCTCTCTGAGCCTCTATCTCCCCATCTGTAAAATGAGACTATTACAGTATCTACTTTGTAAGACTGTTGTGAGGATGGCATGAGAAGCCGTAGGCCAAGTTTCTAGTAAGTAATAAGCTCTCAGTATACAGTAGCTATTAGTAATAGTATTGGTACTAGTATTAGTTGCAGGCTGAAATAATGGTTGGAAAAGCTAACAGAGAAAACTAGAAAGGGATAAATTTAGTGTTCTGCCCCAGGGGCCCAAAGACAAATCATAGGCGTCAAGACAGGAGCCTGGCACTGGAGGGAGGCCTTAGGCTAGGGGATGCATTTCAACTGCAGTTGGCTTCCTCGGGCTGATGCTATTTCTGAAAAATGCTCCTCTGGCCTGGGCGGCATTAAGTGAGAAAGAGGAGGGTCCACAGGAGGAGGCTATGGTCCAGCTCTTCTGGCACCTGCTCAGACCACATGCGAGACTGTGTGACAGCCGGGGGCGATCAGCCCTGAGAAGAGACTGCTCAGAAGAGAGGTGACCTCCCTCACACAGCTGATAGCCAGGGAGGGCCCCGACGGGAAGAACTGTGCCCAACAGGCACCACAGAAGCCACGAGCCATTGGCAGGCATTCTGGGGTTTCTGCCAGGCCAGACCGTGTTCTCTCTGCTCCTGGGGCCCTCAGCCCCTACCTGCCCATCTAGTTCGGACCCTCGGCAGACATTCAGTCCTGAGCGCTGGCTTCCAGGCTGGCCCCATCCATCTCACGCTGCAGCCAGGACAGGACGAAGCACATTCCCACCAACAGGAGGAGGGCTTTAGGGGGCCCTGAGCCCAGGCCCCCTTTGAGACCCAAGAGCCAACTGATGCCGCAGCGGGGCTGAGCAGCAGTGTTAGTGGCCAAGCTGTGTTAAGGATCCAGGGCTCTGGGCTTCCAGTCAAGGGCTGGATCGTGAGGCCTGTGCAGCTTGGAAACTGCCCAGCCTATTCCCACAGGGCCTGGCTGTTGCCGCCACAGCTGGGGTGGTCCAGGCAGACCCATTCTCCTGGCTGGAGCCCAGGCCCTGGCCCGAGGCCTGCCTTTCTACCCCAGGGGCAAGCACTCCCTCATTCCCACTGCTCCAAGGCTTCGAGGAAAACACTACATGAGCAATGCTTTTTAAGTTTTCTTAAGATAAAAAAGTTTAAAAATAACATACTTATATTCTCTTACACACACACACACACACACACACACACACACACACACAACTACAAATAGAGAGAGCCCTTTGTTCAGCATCCTCCAATCCCAGTTCCCTTCCCAAATTCCCAAAGGTAACACTGGTCAGGTTGGTGTGTATGTTTTCAGATCATTTTCTCCCAGCAACTCCAGTCCTGTAGTGGATGCATTGTTTGGGGTGTATGTGTGCGTTTTGATACTTTGTATCTCATTCTGTAACTTGCTTGCCTCTTGAAACTTTTGAAATCTATCCTACTTACTGTACACAGATCTTTTCATTCCCTTTAAGCGGCTGTATGGTATTCCACCATGCGAATACAGTACATCTGTCTTGTCTGGGTCTCTGCTAATGGACATCTGAGCTGTTTCTGGTTTGTGACCTCATTGCTCATACCCATGTCTTTGTGTGTGCGTGCACGTGCTCCCCTAAGCCCTATGCTTACGGGTGCAATTGCTGGTTCACATTTTTGAATTAAAAAGATCATGCAAGTTGTCCAAGGTAGCAGCAAAATTTACCCTCCAACCAGCAGTATCTGAGTGAAACTGCCCCACCATCTCACCAACTTTGCCCCACTATCAAATTATTTCTTCTCACCAGTTTTACAGGTGAGAAGTGGCATGTCTCTGTTATCATTTGCATTTCCTGATTCTCGGTGCTCTTTCTAACCCTCTCTTCCCTCTCCGGCCTGCGGGTATATTGTTCTGAGGGGAGATGAGCAGAGCAAGGAAAAACTCCATTCCAGCTCCACTGCCTTCTGGAGCTTACTTAAGGGGAACCTAGAGTTTTGCCTAGGATAAGCCAATTCTAGCTTCGAAAATTTCATTCCTATTCCCAAGCAACAAGCCATCCCCACAAGAGGCAGATCGGGGGATGGGCAGAACTGAAGAAACCTGTTAAAGATAATACAAAGCCTTGCTGTATAGGTGGGGAAACTGAGGCCCAGAGGGAGGCAGGGAGGGGGCCCTACATGGTGACCCGCATGTCAGTGCTCTGCCATCCAGTGCTCTCCCACACAGCCCACTTCTCCTGCTGCTCTTCTATCTCCAGGACCCCGGTGCCCTTTGGAGGACCCCTGGTCGGAGAGACCATTCCCAGGGCAGGCACCCCATCTGTCCCGGAGCTCATCAGTGGTTTGGAACTCCTTCGTCTCAGACCCAGCTTCAACAGAGTGGCCCAGGGCTGGGTCCGCAACCTCCCAGAGTCCGAGGAGCTGTAGCCCCAGCCTGAATATTCAGTTCCCCTGTCTTGGTGTTCAGGTAACATCTTGGAGGCAAGACTTCTGGACAGCACTTCAGTTTATGAAGGGTCTTCACACACAAAACCTTACTGCAAATGGCCTCAAAGGCCACAAAGTTCAGTAGTCCCCAAATGGGGTGTTTCAAAATTTCCTGGGGATGATGTTTTGTATACAGATTTCTGGCCTGCCCCAAACTTGTAGTATTCAGATCTCCTGAGTTGGGGAATTTCTATTAGTAACCAACACTCCGAGGTGATTCCAGTGAAACTTGTTCATGGTTTGCGTCTTTAGACATCCAAGCCACCAGTGAATTCACATCCATGCCTCCACTCCTCCCTGCTGTGGACTCTAGCTTACACTCCCCTGACAGGGAGCTCACAGCAGCCCATTTACCTATGGATAACTCTGATAATTAGAAAGTTTTTCCTTTTATTGAGATGCAGCTCTAAACATTTGCTAAGTAGCTACTGTGTGCTAGACACCCTGCCAGCCCCAGGGAGAGTGTGTGGCGAATATGCCCAGGCCCTGGCCTAGAGGAAGAGAGGACAGGAGGGAAGACAGATTTGAAAGCAGGAAATCATGTTCCTTTTCCCTACAGCACACTGACTGACAACAGAGGAAGAAAGGGGGCTTGAGGCAGAAGAGGGGGTCCCTAACCTTGGGGCTGGGGTGGGATTCCAGGAAGCTTCTCAGAGACTTTGGGTGGGACCCCAGAGGAGGACTGAGAGCCATCAAGGGCAGAGGGGGTGATGGGGAGGGCGTTCCTGCCAAGTGGACCAGCATGTGCAAAGTGTGGAATTGTGCACAGGAGGAGGTGTGTTCTGGAAAAAGGAGGGGGCTGTGCTAGAGGGGTGAGTGAGGGCCAGCACTGGGGGGGCTTTACTAAGGAGATGGGGGCAGTTTTTAAGCTGGGGAGTGACGGATCTTGCTATGTGGGGGACAGAGTGGCAAGGACTAAGGCCAGAAGCCAGGAATCCTGGCAGGGAACAAGGTCTAGACTAGGGAGATGGCCATGGGGATGGAACGAAGGGGCGCCCCTCTGTGCACCTTCGTCAGGTCAGGTGCAATGTGGGGTACCTGTAAGGCCCCCTTCTTTCTTTTCTCCTTCCGCTCACCATCCTGTGTGAGCCTCAGGGTAAATCTCGTCCTAGTCTCCACCACGGCTATTCAAGGCTGTATTCCTCTCACTAGGAAAAGGAGAGAAAGGAATGCCTCTTAGTTCAACTGGTGATGAGGAGGACAATGACAATAATGGTGGTGGTGGCTGCTTTTTATCGGGTGCCTCAGTGCTTGGGCTGCTAGTAGATTCTCCACGTAGCCTATTTCTTATTTTCAGTTCAACCCTAAGGGAAAGGTATTGTCCCATTTTACAGATGTGGATATCCAGGCTCAAAGGAAGTGGCTTATCCAGGGACAGAGCCAAAATGAGAATGTCTAATTCCACCGGCTGTCCCTTTTCACTGCACTGGGTGGCCAGGCCAATGCCCACTCACTCTGGAACCATCTAAGCATGGTGTCCTGCCTTCAGGCTTAGAGGTGAAAAGTGCAGGTTGGGAAGTCAGAATGGATGGGTTGGGCTCTAACAGCTACTACTGGCTGTGTGAACTTGAGCAAGTCATTTTTTTGTCTCTACACCTGTAAGATGAGGACAAGGCCGGAAGCTCCTGGATAGGGCTGTTGTGAGCACAGTGATGGACACATACTTAAGAAGCCCTCAGTCATTAGATTTCATGCAGCTACTACTGGTCTTGATTGGAAGAGACGTTCTTGTACTTGAGAAGCTGGCTGCAAGATGTCATTGGGGTCAGCAAAGCTTAAGCTGGAAGGAGAGCCTCTGATTACTGTAGGGCTCCCTGTGGACATGGACATGGAATTACCTCCCTCTGCCTCCTCCCTGACTCCCTCTCTTGGGGACATGAGAAGGTGAGAAATCCAGCTAGTTCCCAGGGTGCGTGGGATAGTGGTTACATTTTCCTTTTGTTCTGAACTTTCACTGCACCCCACACCATCTTGAGGGGCCAGCAGCCTATTAGACTTGCCTGCCATTGATGTGTTGTCTTGAATTGGGGCGCTGCTATTGAAAGCCATGTCTGCATGAGCTGAAAACCAACCGTGAAAGTGTCTGACACATAGAAGAGAGGATCTGGACTACCTTGGCTTGGCGCTGCTGTGTTCCGGACAGTGATGGCTGCCCCCAGCTACAGGAGAGGAGGGCCTACTGCACCCGAAAGCAAATCCACATTCTTTCTTCTGATGATGTGACTTTCACTGATGTTGTTAAAAAAAAAAAAAAAAAGAATGCTTATTATCTAAATAAATAAGTAAAATGTGGAAAGATTGGCCCATCTCCCACGCTCATAGTATCTCCCATGCTCATAGACCTTCCCAGCCTCCTGCATTCTGCCTCATCCCCACATACTGGAGGTAACCATGGGTAACAGTTTGGACCTTCTAGAATTCTAAAATTATTTGACTAGATAAATACGTAGTGTGGAAAGGTGCATAGGGGCAAAAATATGTCTTTGTTTAATGGGATCATACCATATGTACTATTTTGTATTTTGCATCTTTATTCAACAATAAGTAAAATTTGGATCCTGAAAAAGCAGGCCATTAACTTTTCGTGTAATTTGTGGGCCTAGTGAGCCCTTCATATAAAATCCTATTCTTTGCCTGTTCATAGAAAATTCTATGCTTTTGCCTGTTCTGTTCCTTACCTAAATGAAATCATCGGGCGATATGGAAATGAAAAGGACTGAGACCAGCCAGGACGCTGGGAAAGTGGACATGAGCTATGGCAGGGATGAGTGGAGAGGAGCTGGGTTCCTTGGGCGTGGGCGCAGACACAAATCGGCAAGCAAAGGAAGGCAGATACAAACACGTATGTATGCTGTTGCAAGGAAGTGTTCATATGAAAGTCGGGATGGGGTTAACTTTGGGAGGAATAAAATGCTTCTGGGGAAGGGATAAAATGCTTCTGGGGAAAGCAGGACAATTTCCATTGCTGGATTCGGGTGACTGTTACATGAGTGTTCACTCTAGAATATTAAATTTAGTTGTACATCCGTATTTTATGCACTTGTTCTGTGCATGTGTTATATTTTACCAAAACAATCCCTTCTTTCAAAAAGTGAATGGACAAATCAGTAATAGATCAGATGTACCTGATGAAAGAATTAGTGAACTAGAAGTGCCCATAATGTTTCACAGAGAGGTGAAGAGACAGAGAGTATGAGAGAGAGATTAAAAAGACATGGAGAATAAAATGGAAGGGTCTGACAGTACTGATAGGAATTCCAGAAAATGCTTTAAAATGACTGGGTTTTCTCCAGATTCGATAAAAGACATAAATTCACACCATCCTCACCCTGTCATGAGAAGGGATATTAAATCTACACTTAAGAACCACTGTATTGAGTGGCGCCTCAGTGGCTCAGCTGGTTGAGCGGTTGAGCATCAGCCTTCAGCTCAGATCACAATCTCAGGGTCTTGGGATCAAGCCCTGAGGGCTCCCTGCTCAGCAGGGAGTCTGCGCCTCCCTCTCCCCCCTCCCTCTGCACCTCCCCCACTTGTCAAGCACTCGCGTTGTCTTTCTCTCTCTCTCAAATAAAATCTTAAAAAAAAAAAAAACACTGTATTGAAATTGCAGAACTCCAAAGTCGCAGAGAAATTTCAAGAAAACTTAAATTACCTACAAATTACCCAGATGAAAAAGCTAGATTATCTACAAAAGAAGGATACTTACAATGACAGCAATAATAGAAAAATATCTTCAAGAAGTGAGAGCAAAATAAACTCATTTTCAGACAAATAAGTAATAGGAGAATTTCCCACTAACCCCTGAAAGAACCAAAGAACATGCTTTAGGAAGGATCCAGAAAAAAAGTATAGAATCTAAGAAGCAATGGTGAGCACAGAGATCAATCAATTCAATAGACAGCAGGAAGGATGAAAAAGAAGCAATTAAAGGGACATGAATTAAGGTATAAATGCATTTAAATATATCAGTTATCATAATAAATGTAAATGTATACAACTCACCAATTTAAAGATACTCATGGTTTGGGTAGAAAGTAATTCCAGCTCTATGCCTTTCACAAATAGTACTCCTAAAAATATGACATGGAGGCAAACTAAAGAAACAGAAAAGGAGGGGCGCCTGGGTGGCTCAGTCGTTGGGCCTCTGCCTTCGGCTCAGGTCATGATTCCAGGTCCTGGGATCAAGCCCCGCATCGGGCTCCCTGCTCCGCGGGAGGCCTGCTTCTCCCTCTCCCACTCCCCCCGCTTGTGTTCCCTCTCTTGCTGTGTCTCTCTCTGTCAAATAAATAAATAAAATCTTTAAAAAAAAAAAAAAGAAACGGAAAAGGATATAGATGTTGTCCGGAAGAAATGTGATCTAGTTATATTAACATCAGACAAGGAGACTTCCTGGCAAAAAGCATTATTGTGATAAAGAGGATCCTTGCATAATGATAAGCCCATAGTCATTGTGGAAGATTTAACACAGTTCTTTGAATTACTGATCAGTCATCAGACAGCGTAAGGATATAGGAAATTTGTACAATAAAAGGAAAATGTGGAATCTTGCACCACCAGGTTAGAGAATACTCATTATTTTCAACTACTATGAAACACTTCATAAAATGAACACACAAAATTTAAAACTTTTATGCATCAAAGGATCCTTTTTTTTTATTATGTTCAATTAGTCAACATATAGTACATCATTAGTTTTTGATGTAGTGTTCAACGATTCATTAGTTGCGTATAACACCAAGTGCTCATCACAACACGTGCCCTCCTTAATTCCCATCACCCAGTTACCCCATTCCCCCACGCCCCTCCTTTCTGTTACTCTCAGTTTGGTTCCCAGAGTCCAGAGTCTCTCATGGTTCGTCTCCCCCTGCGATTTCCCCCCTTCATTTTTCCCTTCCTTCTCCTAATGTCCTCCACGTTATTCCTCATGTTCCACAGATAAG